AACCAGACAATAACAAAGGACGATCCGGACACATTTGATGATGAACACCCATATGAAAATGAAAAGGAGACTGGCCTTGCAGGGCATTCGATGAACACCAGTCAGTTTGACAAGAACATGGCAGAAACCGAAAGCAAGAGCAAAATGGACGCTGCACCAGAAACCTTACCAGCGAACCCAAGAGACAGTTTGAGTGACTACGTCACACATGATGTAATAAACGACGATTTCGAGAGCGACGAAGCGTCCGGGCGAAGGGCAAGTCAGGATGACTGGGACAGGGGAGACGGGGAACACCGGAACCAAACGTTGGCATCAGAAGATGGAAAAACCGATGGCGATTCGGACGTATTTGAAGACGAAAACATTTACGAAAATGAGGACGACGCAAGAGGACATTTAGACCGGGACACCGGGACTTCTGCTGTAACATACGATCCTGACAGTGAAGAGGCGGTAGGTCGAAGGTACACGTGGACAAAACCAGACGGTTGGTACAGCGGAGGCGAAACTCGCCAGAACCAATCGCTAACATCCACAGAGGTAAGACCGAATGACGACCAGGACACATATGACGATGAGCACCTGTATGAAAATGAAAATGAGATAGCAGGACATTCGGTGGCAAAAACGAAATGATTTTATGATTCAGGTGAAACTGGTAATGTTAAAACGGCAGAAGAACGCAACAATACTAGCCGTGTAGGAAGAATGTATGTCACTAGCGGGATGTAAGAGAGGTAACTATAATTGGCAAAAATTAATTAAGTAGTCAATTAGCGAAAATTAATCAATTAGCAAAAAAGTTATTGTAACTAACTAACTATACGTAGATGCAGATATAAAGAGGCAAGACTTCAAATTGTTCAGACAGGTACTTAAACTACCAACTTTTAGCAATATTTGTACGTCTCATATATTTTAGACATGTCACCTACAGTTACGTTACAAAAAGTATTCTCTGATACTACTGTACAACACTTCCTGTTTTCTTCCTTTCTTTTTTGGCGGATGATAGTAGATTGTCTTGAGAGGTTGTTCGAGAGATTGCACTTAGGAACCACCAAAATCGTGTAATAGATGCTAGCATTACACTATCCGTACACATAGTCAAAAGTAAAAATTCTAAGTCGAAAGTAAAAATGTTATACATGTTATAAAGTTAAATTGACTGTTCCATTTACATTAATGTCTCATCTCACCATGGCGAGGTTTCTTCATAACTGATACAGAGGAATGACTATGGTGTTGCTAAGAGTTGTATTTCAATAAACATCTGGTTATAGCTGTGAAAGTCTGTTAAACTGTTCATTTCTTATCTACTAGTACTCCCTGGTGATCTCTAATAAACGCGACATGTGCCGAAATAGTCGCTACATTTCCTGGAAAGGATGAATTGTCGTGCATATTGTGGTTTCGCAGCGCCCCCTATCGATGTTGTAGCTGGTACAGGTAAAGCTGCGGCAAGTAAATTTTATGGATGACATCCTCTGCAGACTCCAAATCTAATGCGATAGGGCGGGCAAAAAAAACAAAACAACAACAACAACAAGATTCCTACATTTTCAAATTTTGACATTATGAACCTCGTCAAACAAGAATTCATACCTATATTGTGCTATAAGTTTACCGCCAACTACTAGTTTTACACATACCAAGGAGGTTAAATGCACATACATTTCTCCAGGAAATAACTCAAAGCCTTGTCTTGTCTCCTCTCTGGACATTGAACCGCATCCCTGTCAAAATGTCACATTGAAAGACGTATTAAATGTCAGAAAGATACATACAAATACAAAGACAAATACAAACCAAAACGCGAGCAATACGACTAAAGCAATACATCTACTTTAAAAGGTTAAGTACGGTAAAAAAAAGCCAGGAAACCCACGTACGAAAACAAAGCGAAGCCATACTTACATCTGCTTGAAGATATTTCACTTTCTCCTCACGTCACGCCAGGACCGTAAGTGAAAGTGACCGATAAATTATGCAAATATCCTATTCGACGTCACGTGGTCTACTATATACACGGCTCGCGCTGTCAAATGGTAGCGGTCCGCTGAGCAGACGACCGGCCTGGCGTTTCGGATTGTTTTCTGCTATTTGCATCTGTTTTTGAAGGTAAGTCTCGTTTTTCTTAATACTGTCCGCTAGGTAGTCATCACGGAGGAACAGCCGAGTGCAGTATAACTTCCGAGCGGCTTCCGACATTGCGGAAAAATGTGGTGCAGTGTCGCCTGCCGAGCGCGCTGCAGGCCGCTTCAAGTTTCCATCATGGTGGAGGAGGAGGGTGTGTGTGTGGTGTCGATTTCCTCACAGTCTCCGAAATTTGTTTCCGAGATGGAGTTTCTGATAAAAACACAAGAGCATCAGTTCGCCTCATAGCTGTGACCACACGGTTACGTTCCGTGTACCAGGGTAAACGGGGAGCTGTCATCTTTTTCTCCGGGACTTTGCTTTGGGTCCGACCTTTTGTGAGGGAAATATCGTCAGACAGACGACAAATTCGTGTCCCCAGGAGAAAAATCCCAGGGGCAAATGTCTGTGCGATGGGGTTTTTATCTTCGTTGTACCGAAAACATTGCGTACTTTTGTTCAATTGCTAGTTAAGGTCGCTTTTTATGATTTGGGTTGACCGTTTTCCAGTATAATTCAAATTATGTGG